CATGTTGGGGACAAGTCTCAACATGCTGTGCAGCACAGAGGCCTGTGGGGGCTGCAGTTGTCAATAGTGCAGCCATGTTTAAATGGCATATATCCCCACACCACTTCACTACCAGGGCTCTAAAGAAAGCTTAAGAGGAGGTAAATACATCTACTCCTCACTTATTGACATGGTTAGGTTCCAAAGATCAGGCTGTTATGTGAAAATTGGTGTCATGCAAAAATGGAGGATGACTATATCATAACATAACTACCAAGCCACTGAGAATCATAGCCCAGCCAAGTTGACATATAACCTTAACCACCATGGCCAGCATTACTCTCGCCTTGCACCTCAGTGTTTCAGTGTTCGTTACTGCCAGATGTACGTTGTTAATGTGCAAAATAGTTGGATAGTAGATTTGTTACTATTGTCATAAATGCAAAATGTCAGATGATGCGATAGTCGATAAGTGACGACTGGGTGTAGATCCTAATTTAGGGCAAAGGTTAGAGGACAGAAGAATATAAAGAAGTATCAATCTTCAAATGAAACTGGGTGTCTGGATGGCACTAAAGCTTGGGACTCAGCACTTGGTCTCTTTTCACAGGCAATGTCCAGAGATTCTGTGTTGTCTACAGGACCTTGGGGACACTTAACTTCCCCAAGCCTCATCTATAGTGGGGAAATAATTGTACTTTCCTCACAGGGCTGCGGTGAGGATTGAATAGGATCATGCACATTAAAGAGTGAGCATGGTAGGTAAGTGTTCCTCATTAGCTGATTTGAGGAAGTCTTACTCTACTTGTTGCAGAGAAAAGAAAATCCTAGGAGTTGACTTGCCTAAGGTAACCCAGCAGATCTAACAATAACTGGCCTTAGAACGTGGGCAGTGTAATGTTCAGGGTGAGGAGTACAGTAGGAAGTGCTCTGGAATCAGAAAGACCAAGACACAAACCCCACCCAGCTCTGCCACTTACTAGTTTGGGCAACCTAAGCCTGTCTGGTTTTTTTTTAACATTCATACCTTCTACTGGGCAGAGTTTTTGTGAGAATTAGATATTAAGTAGTAAGGTGGGCAGTGTCAGTTCCAAGCTCTAACTTTTAGAAACACCAGTGGGTTTATATTCATGAAGATGCAGTGCAAGAAAATAAAGAAAACTAAGTATAGGCAGTCTGGTGATCTGTTTATTCCTCGTAAACACTTGTTTCTACAGTACAGTTCAGAGATTAAATAGAGGCACACGGCTATAATTTCCACCACAATCTGCTGCTGAGGAGACATTCAGTGTGAGGATAGGGGCTGAGGGGGTTTGTGTGGGTCACAGGGTAACTGTAGGCCTCCGTGATGCACCATGTTGGGATCCTATCAGTCGAGATCTGATCCCCAGGCCTGATGGCCAAGGCTCAGGGTGGAAAAGATAACTAAACTAAAGGAGTCAAGCGGTCTTCTGGTTCATCGCAGTCCTAGGATGGGTCCAATTCTACCTAAACCCCAAGGGACTGAGGTTGGTCTGACCTACTGGTCCACTGGGAAGGAACTGTATCAGCCCAAGCCATCCCAAAGGATCCGGTTCACTCCATAGCAGGGCCTGAAGGGGCCCAGATATGTCTGCCTTTTTCCCTGGTGTAAGTAATAAATGCAAATTATAAGATTACTGTTTACATCAGTTTCTTTCTTGACTATCCCAAAAAGAGATCCTGCCTCACATCTAAGGAAAGAGCGAGGCACAGATGGGGATTCTCTGTTGGAACTCAGTTAAGGAAGATAACTTGTAAAGTTGAAGGAAAGGGAAATAGCACTCTACAGAATCCTTCACAGGAGGAAGAAACAGAGACGAACACTAGTCTGTCCAGACAAAGTAGAAGGCCTGGAGCCATGATTCCAACCAGCAGTAAATGAGGGGGTAACATACAGAAAACCTCTGATCTTGACTTTCACAGGACTACTGTACTAAGTCACCCCTATCTTTTTCCTTATTTCTCCAGGGCAGCACAAAGCACTGGTCCTAAGTTGGGACTAGGGTCATCTGCCCCAAACGTAGGCAGGATGAAGACATTCTGCGTAACTTGGCAGAAAATGAAGGAGAGGGAAGCAGCAGGCCTGCACTGGGTGACCCAAGATTTTAGGAACAGAGTACCAACAAGTCAGAAAAGGAGGCTCATCTGTCCTCTAGCACATAGGCACGTTAAACAAAAAAAAAAAACCCGTTGCCGTCGAGTCGATTCTGACTCATAGCGACCCTATAGGACAGAGTAGAACTGGTCTATAGTTTCCAAGGAGTACCTGGTGGATTTGAACTGCTGACCTTTTGGTTAGCAGCCATAGCACTTAACCACTATGCCACCAGGGTTTCCATAAGCACATTAGATCTGCTTAAAAAGGGAAAGACAGAACTGTTAAAAACTGCTGCAGGGTCTATGTGCCAGAATCCTCAGAACTTTTCTGAGAGCTAACTCCTGATGGACAGGTGATGGGGCACATCACAAGGATTCTGCTCGACAGTCATTCTCATCTCAGGCCTGGTTCATTTGTCCGCCTCAAGTGAATAACTGCGGTGTCTGCTTTATCCAATACTTGTCAGCTGGTGTACACGCCCCATCAGGCTGTGAGGTTCCTGGCTGACTTGGAGGCGCTCTGGGCCCGCTGAACTACTGCTGAACACTTCTCGCGCCGCAGCAGCTTGTTGTTCTCAAATAGACCTTCGTTGCGGGGTATTCCATGAGAACCATCAGGGAAAGTCAGCAGGCCTTTCAGGAGGACAGAGAAAATATGGGAGTGATAATGGCATTAATGTCTCAGAGACCAGCTCACTACGTAGAGGCCGAGAAAGAGAAAAACTCACAGCTCTACTCAGGAGTACTCAATCGGGAAGTTCAATGCATAGGCATTAGGCACAGTCACTGGACTGCTGGACATTCATTGAAGAATTGAAACTAAAAAGGTATACTTCCACCCATATTATGCTCACCTAAGTCACCCATCCTGCTGGGCTGCAACTTACCAAAACCATCTACTCTGCCATTTTTAAACTCCCCCTCAAAGGTCATGTTGTCCTGCCGAATGAAGACTCCAACGCCATTAAACTTGCCCTGGGCAAACTCCCCCTCATACCTGTAGAAACACCAACATGTTAGCCTTTTGGGGGTGGTGAGGAGTTACCTGTTCAGGTTAACTGAGTCAAGTAGCTACCAGTTTAATAATGCCAAGGAGCAGATTCCACTTGTCTCAGAGCTCTACTCCCCAACCCACCCCACTCCCAACCAACAGAGAAGGGTCAGAGAGTATGTATGATATGAGGCCCTAAGGTCCAGGAAAGAACATAGCAGCGTGGAAGTGGGATGGAAGGTCACTTACCTCCTCGCCATTTCAAATTTTAGATCTACTTAAAAAGTAACTAAATAAAAGAACTGCTTATTCCTTGCCTGTTTTCTGCAGGGTGTAAGACAAGCTTAGGGTTAACTAGATACTTATCACTGTCCTATTTTTGATTCAGAGCCTCCCTAGCTTAAAGCTGAGACAAGAATGACCCAATACCCACCTTGAGCCATCTGAGAAGGTCAGTACCCCGAAGCCATTAAACAACCCGTTCTCAAAATGACCCAGGTAGGTGCCACCATCTGCAAATATCAGTTGACCAAAACCATGTCTACGGCCTAAGCAAAGAGAAGGACAGGTGTCAGGCTGGAATGGCACAGCTTCAGGGTAACTTCTCACTCGTATAGCATCCCTTACCTTCCGTCACCCCACCCACAAAGGAAAGAAGAGAAGTAGTAATGTTAGAGGGCAGAAAACTATTACCCTGAGCCAGGCATCTAGAAAACCTGGCTCCTGGGACCTTCCCATCTTCAGTTGCAACCATCAGGTTTAGAGGAGGTCCTTCCAAGTATGAAAGATAGGCGAGCACTTAAAAATTACAATAACATTTATAGAGCCTTTACTATGTGCCAAGCACTCTTCTAAGCACTTTGTATTTATTACCTTATTTAATCCTTATGACAACCTTATGAGGTAGGTATAGTACTATTATTATTTCTATCTTACTGATGAGGAAACCGAGGCAAGGAGAAGCTAAATAACTTACTTAAGATCACACACCTATTAGGTAGTAGAGCCAGAATGCAAACTCAGGTAGTCTGACTCTAGAGCCCTCAATATCTACTGTACTACACTGCCTCTGAGGAATAATAAAAGTATCCCTTAGCACCGTGAAGCTACTGGGCAAACCTAACAGCCTGACTGGCAACACTGGTTTAAGTTTTGTTACATCAGTAGGGCTGGGTTTACCCAGTGAACTGACCAGAAAACAGAGCAAGACGACGGAGGAGCAATTATGCTCTTGAAACAGAATGCGAAGGAGTTCTTTTGTTAGATAGCCTGCCCGGGACAGCCTCAGGAATTCTCTCATCTAAAAGGCTATATTAAAGGGGACAGTGGGTGTTTAGGAGGCAGGAGAAAAGGCTTGGGATGTACGAAGGCAAGGTCACATCATAGCTGCACAATTTCTCCTCTCAAAGCTAAAGAATTCATCAGCTGCAGGGCTCTAATGTGAAAGGAATGAGGTGCAAGTCTGCTAAAAGCTTGAACCGCTCTCCACCTCCACAGCTGTAGAAAATCAAGTCTCCCAGCTTGCTAGGACTGGGCCCAAGAGGCCTTAAAGGGCAAGACTGTTTTGAGCTGTCACAGGAAATTCAAGCACTGAACATCATTTGCTCTTGAGTGTCTGCCCTAATTTCCAGATCTTCCTTAACATCTTAAGAGTCACTGGAACCAAGCCATTGCAATGAATTCTGTACTCTCTCTAATTTATGAGTACTTAAAATATTTAAAATAATTCATTTTACTCTGCTGGGTACATTAGCATTTATAAAAACAATTCCCAAATAGCATCACTAAAGGATGTTAAAACACTTCAAATTTAGAAGCTGAAAGATTTAACTCATTTCTGGAGGTCGGATTAACAATAGAATTCTCAAATTCTTGTATTTAATTCTAAAATAAAATAAAGGAAAACACTAGTTGGAATTAAATTCTGGCGTTGGAAATGAAGAGCCACAAAGTTGACTTATATATCTTGATGTATTTATCCTTTAGCCAAATGAAATGTTCATCACTGGATACCCCCTGCCCAGGGGTCTTTCTTACCCTCCTTCCATTCGCCACGATATTCCTCCCCACTGGAGTAGGTGAAGGAACCTTTTGTCAGGGTCATGGTGACAGCTTACGGAAGAAAAGGATGAAAACTGCAAAAAACAAGCAGAGGAGAACCAGTGTCACAGGATGGCTGGAGGAAAGGACTAAAAGCAATTTTGTAGATACATTCTAAAGGCCACCAGCCCTGCTAAGTGTATACTACCTCGGGTACATTTAACAAAAAAAATCCATCTCTCCAACCACCACCACTACCATCATCAGCATCTCTGCCCAACCATTCTTATCTTCCTGCTTTTCTTAAAAAATTTCAGCCAGTTCCTATATTCTAAGACTTGGGATGGACACTGAGAGTTAATCTACAAATAGCAGAAGCTAACTGATATATCCAGGTAAGAGATCAGAAGGCCTGGACTAGGGGGACAGCAGTGAAATGGGAAAAGAATGAATGACTATGAGAGATATAACATAGGAAAAAAAAAAAAAAACCCACACACAAATAACAAAGACTGGCTAGATATTACTTTATACCAGTGGTGAAAGAATAAGTTTGTACCCAAGGATATCCTATAAGAACAACAACAACAAAAACCCACACCCGCTGCCGTTGAGTTGATTCCGACTCATAGCGACCCGATAGGACAGAGTAAAACTGCTCCATAGGGTTTACAAGAGGTGGCTGGTGGATTCGAACTGCCGACCTTTTGGTTAGCAGCCGAGCTCTTGACCACTGCCCTGCCAGGAACATTAAAATGCTCAAAATATCATTAAATATAAATGGAGACAAAGAGAGTAATTTAACATATCAAAAAAATACAGCCCCTATTTCTTTTTTAATTCGCTAAGTCTTTTCATTCTCCCCTCCATCTTTTCCAGATGTAAGCAATACAATGTTTTCACAAGTGATTATGACAATACAGATTCCTAGGCCCAAATCCAGACCTACTGAATTAAATTCTATACAGTTAGAGTCCGGAATCTGCAGTTTTAACAAGCACATCATGAGATTCTTACACACTCGAAAGCTTGCGGACAACTGCTCCAAGAAATGGAAATACTGTGCGTGATAAGCTCTCTGAACTATAAATCACCAAGGAAATGTCCCCTATTATTAATAATTAACCCTAGAGTCTGATAGCAGGCACCTGGCTGAGTTCCAAGAGGACAAGTGCACCTCTTCCTCAGAGCACTGGGGCCAGACCTGGTGGACAAAACAAAAGTGGATCCTTAAATCACTTCAATCTCTAGCTCCCTGTGGGCCTGGTGCAATGGCTAACTTCCTTTTCCTTCCAATAAAGTTCCAGAGGGGCCAAAAACATACCCAATGTTAAGGATGTATTGAAACCTCCACTATGAAAAATCAAGATGGGTGTTCCAAAGAGCAGGTTCCACAGCTCCACAGCACAAGGGGATCTGGCATATTTTGTAAAAAAATGATGATTAAATGTTCTACTAGTAGAACATGGTACATTAAGTTTGTTTTCTCCAAACTGCGGAGAAAACCTGGCTGAGTTCCAGGTTTTGGGCTGGGTTATTTAAACTCAAGAGTTAGCTAGCACAACACTCATTAATTAATTGAGCTAACCCCAGAGAAGCTTCTTGAAATACCTTTGTATCATCAACTAATATTTATTGACTACTTACCGTGTGCCATGCTCTGTTCTGTTTTTTAAATATAGTATTTAATTTCGTCCTCACAGAAACTGTATGAGGCAGGTACTATTATTATTCCACTTTACAGATGAGGAAACTGAGGCACAGAGAAGATACGTAAGTTAGCGAAGGTCATCCAGGTAACATGGAAGTTAGAATCAGAACCCTGGCAACCAGCCTTTAGGGTCCATGCTCTTAAACACTATTTTATACTATCCTACCTATCCTATACTGCCTCCCAGTACAGTAGTATATAATGGTGTTGTGGACCTCAACAGAAGAAAGACCTGAGTTCAAATCCTGATTCACTGTGTAACCTTTGGCAAGTTACTTAAGCTTCTCTAAACCTCAGTCTCCTCATCTATAGAGATCATACATCTATTCTACAGAGTTGGTATGTGGATTAAGTTAAATATAGATGAAAGTACCGAGAGCACTACCTGGTACTGCCCATTAAATGTTAGTTTCTTTTCTTCCTTCAAAAAGAGACACCTAAGCTCACACATTTACTTACTGTAATGGAAATTCCTCTAAAGTCTTTGTTCAGTATAAAAATGCTACTGACATAATTCACATAACAGATCTTGAAAAAAATTCAACAATTTTGACTAAGTACTAAGTAGATGAAAAACAAACTATGGTTGCTATCCATCTGTTCTTTATCAACATCCTATGGGAGATTTTAATTTTGGCCTTATGTCATAATGATTTTTGATACAGATGTTGGAGGCTCAGAAATGGTCTGATGTGAAACAGCCCAGCCTGAACACAATATAACTCAGTCACATCCACTAGGCCCTGGCCCTGTCTCAAAGCTTTAGTTTCATCCCAGTTATGAGTACAGATGAGCTCTGAGAATCCCCATGCTATCACCAAAATATAGAGGAATGTTCTTTTCTATCCCCAAAATGCAGGCCACCTTTGTGGAAGCTCTTCTAGAGATGTTTGGGAGTCACTCCCACAGGCCCATCAGGAATTTTCTCACTTTTCCAGTTATCGTTCAGGAACTCCATGTCCAGGGTCTCTCACATGGTAGAAGATATCCTGAGGCAAGGATCATTTTCTTCTTGTACTAAAGTCCCTCAAAACCTGTGGAGGCTATTTTCTCAAAGGTGATGCTGGTAACTAACTGCTGTGCCATCTCTGTCCAGTCCTTGTTCCACAAGGTCAGTATCCAATTTCAGGCTCACAAGCCTCTTATCATCAGCTGAGCATCAGAGTGTGCCTAGGGTAGAAGTCAACAGGACTCCACGGCAAATATAACATTAATGAGAGGAAGAGAAGTTTTTTTTAGAACTCAAAAGGAAAACTCTTTCCAGTCCATGGACTGTGGGACATAAAATGATACTCGTGAAGAGTGTACTTCTAAGCTCAAGTAGATGCATGAGACTAAACGGGCAGCTTCTGTCCAGAGGTGAGATGAAAAGACAGACAGGGTTAGGAGCTGATTGAATGGACATGGGAAATCAGGGGAAGAAAGGAAGAGTGTGCTGTCACAGTATAGGGAGAGCAATTAGGGTCACATAACAATGTATGTATAAATTTTTGTATAAGAGACTAACTTGAAAAGTAAACTTTCACTTAAACTACAACAATAAACAAAACAAAACGTGTTTGAGTAATTGGGGGGAAAAAGACAAAAATAAAAAAAACCTCTTTCCAGTCCAGATAGGCATCTTGATAGGTAGAGGCCATCTTTAGTTCTTCCCAAACTATTAGGTCATAGCATTAAAGTCAGCACATGGTATAAATCTGAACTATTTCATTCCTTCAGAACAAGTCGGTTAGAATCTGAAGGGCTATATCTTCTACTAAATCTTATAACTAAACAACCATTCCAAAACATAAAAGCAAAATATTTATACAGGAAGATTATAATGTACAGGCATTTCCTTTAAATGTTTGGCAGCAGTTAGCCAACTGTTGTCTTCACTCAAAGGTTTGGAGGGAGTTATTGTAGTGTGATTTGAAGAGTCATATTGACTACATGCAACGCCCATGGAAGCAGTGGTCCAGATATCAAATGACACACTGCATTGGGCAAATCTGCTGCAAAAGACCTCTTTAAAGTGTTGAAGAGCAAAGATGTCACTTTGAGGACTAAGGTGTGCCTGACCCAAGCCATAGTGTTTTCAATCGCCTCATATGATGCAAAAGCTGGACAATGAATAAGGAAAACGGAAGAAGAATTGACGCCTTTGAATTATGGTGCTGGCGAAGAATACTGAATATACCATGGACTGTCAGAAGAACGAACAGGTCTGTCTTGAAAGAAGTACAGCCAGAGTGCTCCTTGAAAGTGAGGATGGCAAGACCTTGTCTCCTGTACTTTGGATATGTTAACAGGAGAGACCAGTTCCTGAAGGACATCATGGTTGGTAATGTAGAGGGTCACTGAAAAGAAGAAGACCCTTGATGAGATGGACTGACACAGTGGCTGCAACAACGGGCTCAAACATAATGATTGTGAGGATGGCGCAGGACCAGGCAGTGTTTCGTTTTGTTGTACATAGGGTCACTATGAGTCAGAACAGACTCAATGGCATCCAACAACAACAACAACCCTGAGGCTACCATGTTGTGATGAAGTCAAGCCACATAGAGAAGCCATGTGTTGGTGCTCCAGTAGGCAGTACTCTTCTTCGAGTCTTCCCAGTCCAGATGCCAGGTATGAGTGAAGGAGCCTGTCTTAGGCTGGGTTCTCTAGAGAAGCAAAACCAGTAAAGCGTATACATATATATATATGAGAGAGATTTATATCAAGGAAACAGCTCACGTGACTGTAGAGGCTAGAAAGTCCCAAGTCCGTGGATCAGGGCAGAGGCCTCTTCCAAGTCATGCAGCTGCAGAAGCTGGTGAGCCCAAAATCAGTAGGTCAGAGAGCAGTGCTCCCGATCACAGGCTGCGAAGATTGACGAATCCCAAGTTCGGCAGATAAGCTGACAGCTCAAGTCCAAGCACCAGAGATGAGACGACAGGAGGCAGCCGCAGGATCCAGAGAGAGCAAAAAGCCAGAACATCTGCTTATATTCAGATACAGGCCACAGCCCTAAGGAGACTCCCTTTCATTTGACTGGCTACTCACAGTATATTCAATCTTGGGAGTGTTCACGTTAAAACACTGAGAATCATGGCCCAGCTAAGTTGACACACAATTTTAACCATCACAGAGCCTTCAGATGATTACAGCCCACAGCTATTCAGTCTCCCCAGCTGAGACTCCAGATATCTTGCAGCAGAGACACATGGTGCCCGGTCCAAATTCCTGACCCACAGAATCGGTGAGCATCATAAAATGGTTGTTTTAAGCGCTAAGTTTTGGGGTAACTTGTTATGCAGCAATAGTAACTGGAACACTCTCAAACTATCCCTGCCATCATTCTCTCCCATTTGTTTTCAAAAATCCATACAAATTTCCATTCCTTTTTGATCTAGGGAGATATACCAAATTCCCTTCAGCAGCTGCTTGTCAAAATGATGTCTATTCCAAGGACACATCAAAAGTGATAATTAAAGGCAACATGTATAGAATTCATGAGTCTCAGGCCACAGTTGGACACATTTGGCTAAAACTGCTACATGTGCCCAAGTAATTGATACTGTCACTGAGATTTTCATCTATGCTAACAGTCAGTTACACAGCCACTGACCCAAAAAGGAATTTCATCAGTATCCATGGCAATGGACACAAAATCTAGTTTAATAAAGTATAGCCAGTGCTGATGAAGACTGAAAAGCCCAATAATTAAATAAGGGATGCAAATCAGTATTTGTATCAGTTATTCAAATAATCTTTTTAAAGAGAATAGATGGCCTACAGATAT